ACACACACACACACACACACACACACACACACACACACACACACACAGGGATAATGATGAGGATGATGTGGATCTGAGGCTCTCAGAGGGGGTCAGCAGGTGTGTGTTTGTGTGTTCAGGAGCTGAACGGCTTCAGGGGGAAGTGCAGCATGCTCTTTCACTACGACATGATCAGCGTGCCCCTGGTCTACACCCAGGTGAGCCCCCATCTCACACCACCGAGCGAAACCGGAAGATTCATTTTTTCAGTGTCACTTTTTGGCTCGCCGCGATTAAATCACTTCCTGTTCCTCCGTTCTCAGCTGTTGTTCGTCATTTCTGCCCTTTTTAAGCTCAGGGTTTAGATCTTTTCCCTTTCCTCCCCTCTCACCTGTTGAGCATCCAACTGAATTCAACCTCCTGGCTTTTCAGAGCTTTATTAGATGCTGCTTAAGTTCTGGGCTTTTCTGCTCTTCCCTCAGTGTCAAACCATTTTTTTTCTTTGGCAGGAGACAGACTATTATCATCATCTATTAGTGCCTGAAAAGCCTCATTAGCAGTCCAGGTTTTCCTGGTTATTTACAGTTTCTGAAGCCATTAGGAGAGGCTTGCATTTTCCTTTGTCTTTTCTGTGACGTTTCAGAGAAATAAAAGCACCCTTTACACGCACGTTTCATCCTGATCCTGCAGGGAAAACCTTATTTGAATCCCATTAGTCCTAAATAACCCGTCCTCCAGGTGGTGACGTTGGCGGTGTACAGCTTCTTCCTGGTGTGCCTGATTGGCCGGCAGTTCCTGGACCCCCGCCAGGGTTACCCCGGCCACGACCTGGACCTCTACGTGCCCATCTTCACCCTGCTGCAGTTCTTCTTCTACGCCGGCTGGCTGAAGGTCAGAGAGGGGGGGCTCTGGGTCCGGGGTCCTCGGCCTGGGTTAGGGTTAGGGTTAGGGTTAGGTGGTAACCACTGGTCTACAGTCCAGAGATTAGAGTCCAGAGTCTCCTTTTATTTTCTACAAACAAAAAAAACAACTCAGATGGTTCACAGAAGTAGTGATGTGTCCCTGAATCAGGAAGTGGTTTGCGGTTTTGCGGTCTTTTTTAAATATATGGGCCAGCAAAATGCAATGGACACCCCCCCCTCACATTTTGTGGATTTGGGACTTAATTACGAGTTTGTTAGCGATATATTAAAGCTTCCCTGTCATTGTATCATAAAGACAGACACCATATAAAAGTTTTAAATTTATTTATAGGCTCCCAAATATCCATCCATCCACTATCGTTACCCCTTATCCCCTAATGGGGTCGGGGGGGACTGGAGCCTATCCCAGTAGCCAATGGGGAGAGGGGGGGTCACCCTGGACACATCATTGATTAATTCATTCAGAGCTTCAGACACCAAAGCCAGAGTCTCATTATAATCACACTGTACGGTTTACTTTTATTGTCCACTTGATGGCACAACAGAGCAAATGAAGCACCATGAAGCTTAAATGGTTTATGAAGCTTCCTCTCACCATCAGTACACAAAAGGTCTCTGGGGTCTTGAGAAATAAAAAAATACAAGGGCTCCAAAAGTTGAACAAAAAGTGTTTGGTAACACCAAACGTAAAATGCCAACCGGAATGGGGCTAACATCCCAGAACAAAGTATCACAAAAAATACAGAGTAGCTCCCCAATGACATGGACTTAGAGTTTAAAAACCAAAAACCCAGAGCTTAAATACACAGACTAATTGCTCAATAGAAAACAGGTGGCAGAGGAGGGAGAGGTGTCCAACAGCGCCCCCTAGTGGCCAGAATAGCCATAGCACCTAACAGGCTCCAAAGTTTGTTTTCCGACTTGTGAACAGGACTAGACAGTTAACCCCCCTTAACCCCCCCCCAACTTGTTTGCCCTGCAGGTGGCAGAGCAGCTGATTAACCCGTTTGGAGAAGATGATGACGATTTTGAGACCAACTGGCTGATTGACAGGAACTTTCAGGTTTCTCTCTTCGCTTTTTCTGTTC